CCCCAGCAGCCTATTGCAGCATAACTAAGGGAGGATTCAGGGTCAGCTGGTCCAGCCCTAACTATATGCTTTAGCAAAAAGGAAAGTTTGATTAACAGAAACTTAAAGAACAGTTTTGGTGTTTATCAATATTGTTAATTTAGGGCAGCTGTGGCATAAACCTTACACACTGTGGTGTTTTTCACACACAAATGTGTCAATATCAGGGTCACAGGTTTGTTGACGGCATCAACACAAGTTATGTTTGAAATTTAAATACAGCGATAGTGTAAAAAAACTGTGTAGTCCTTATATTGACACATTACCGTTTTTAAAAAATCGGTCAACTCATGCTTAAAAATAGAAATGTAAAAGAAACTGACACGCAGCTTTACAAAGGTCAATGTTTACATATTTGTAACATTTGTAATCAGCATGTTACATGAAAATTGTAAACGCATATATGCAAGAAATTTTATTAGAATAAATTCCTTCCAGTTGTTTTTAACATCTACGCCAAAAAAATCACGTTCCCAGTTGGTCTTTATGTTAAATATAGGCATAACATTATTAGTATAAAATAATTATAGGATTTTTGATATACATTGTCCTACTATAATACAATTTTCCTTTTTTTTTAATAGAATTAACCCTTAAGGACCCACAGTGACACTGGTGTCACTGCCTCTTTACACTTAGAGACTTGGTTATATATGATTCATTTGATATAAGACCCCCGTAATTTTCATGAAAGTAGAAATAGGTCTGGGCTCTTAAGGGTTAAGTTGTCAAAAAACATTTTGGACATTGTTAGCATCATATAACTGCATATGTGGGATTTAAGTTCACGCTGTCTTCCTAAGATTATGACAACAGGCATGATGGCTGGTAATATGCAAGGTCAATATTTATGCTAAAAACATGTTTTTCTCAAACTCTCCATCCTTTGCTTGGATAATATCCTGAGTCCAATCCAGGGCCGTGCAGAGATGTTTAAAGGGGCAGGTGCTCAAAGTTAAAAAGGGGCACCTAGAACCAGGCTGAGGAGCAACAACACGTTCATGAAGAATTAATATGGAAACGCATCAAACTCTCACTGTCATCAGGTGGGGACAATGCAAAGCAAATGTTTTTGTCATGGTCCCCATGTCTGCCCGGCTGACCCAGGTCGGCTACATGTTTCTTGTTTTCCTTTCCCTCTCGCTGTGTGTCGCCTGGGCGGAGCTTATTGCGGGCTCCCGCCCCCGGCCCTCGCACCTGTGGCTCATCACTTCACCAGCGTCCACTACTTAAGGCAGTAGCTGGAAACATCTCATTGCTGGACTACTGAGTAACCTTGGATTGTCTTTCCCTTGGAGGCCTGGGCGAGCTGAGTGGCTGGTGTGCTGTGTTTTTGGAACTGTGTGAAGAGCCCCCCCTGTGCCCCTCTGGATTCCCCCCCCTCACTCTCTCACCTGTATATAGTTGCACCTGGTGTTGTGTGTTAATAGAAGGAACTGCATTTAGCTTCCCTTGTCTGCGCATGAGTCCATCCCGCCTCGTGACAGTTTTACTGATGGATACAATGTTGCTGCTGCTGCTGGAGGGCAGGGCTGTGTTGATCTGAGAAGGTAGACATTAAAGAGTCCACAGGAGAGATGGGAGCTGATTAAACAAGTGTTATGAGATAATAATAAAATGTAAAGAATGGTGACAGCACTTAAAAACTCCTCCACCTAATCCATAATAAAGTAATGATAGAAAAATGTTAGAGAACGAAAACATTGTGTTTATTATTGTTTTTATACTTGAATGCAATGCAACAGCTGGTGCAGGTGTCATAGTGACCTGTGCTCTTTGTAATCCAGCTGCTGACGGATCTGCTGCCTCACAGCGCCTTCTGTCACTGTTTCCTCCTCATGTCCTTACAGAGCCTGTCTGGACAATATTATATCATGAGTAACAATTCAAAAAAATCTATACACATAAAACACGCACATACAGGGACATTTTATACCTTCTCAATGACACTGTATATACTATGGCCACAAGTTTGAATCATAGTGCTGATCCAGAATCCTTCTCTTATTATTTATTCCTAGTGTTACAATAATAAAGTAACGAGTATAAAAAAATTAAGTAATAAATATAAAATAATGTATTTGTTTGACTATCCACTCTGTGCAGGCAGAAAGTTTATTAAATGAGATACAATGTTGCTGCTGTAAAATCAGCATTTTATCATATTTGAAATATAAATCTAATATAATCTGTTTCTTAATGCATTTTCTTTAAAAACACGTGTGTGTGTTTAAAAAGTGTGTTTTTAATTACGTGGATATGCATATTAGATTATTCATAATCTAATAATTTATCATTTATTTATTTATATTTAGTGAAATATAAATAAATAAATAATGATGATGAAATATAAGCCCTCCTGAAAGGTTTGAGGTCGCTCAAACGGCAAAAAATGCGCGCGCTCTTTCGAGCTCGTTCCCGGCCCGCGTAACCAGCGCGCTCTGCCGTCAAGTGCGAGGATTGGTTAATGATAGTCATGTGACTGATGCAAGCTGGACCCTTTTATTTATCAAAACTGTGATTAATTGTTAAATATTATTGTTGAGGGGCACAGGCAGGAAACAGGGCACCTGGGGCACCCATCAGGAAAGGGGCACGTGCTCAAGCCCCTTCCGCCCCCCACCCGCTGCACGTGTCTGGTCCGGTCCGTGATGCTTTTTTGCAAATGTACTGCTCCTCCTGTCACCGACAGTTGCATTAGGTGCTAAATACATGTGAGCTTTGACACTAATATGCAATCGTCCTCACTGATGATGTTACGCATTAAAGATTTACAGCTCCTACGACTGTTTGACGTCAGCGCATTTTGAGTTAAACAAGTTTGCACCTTTTCAGAAGCTTCAGGCTTTGACACAAACTCAAAGTCACCAATTTGTTTACAATTCAGCATTTCTTTCCGTTGACACAGAAAAGTGCATAATCTGACAACATGCACATGAAAATATGACAGATTTGCATGTGGCCCCAGAAATAACTGATATCCTACAAACAGATAAACATCCTGTTTGTTTGTTTCTTATTATTTACTATTATGTAATTTTAGCTTTACTTTAGGTACTTGAAATATATTTCGATTATACAACTTTTGTACTACTAAGTTATTATACTACTACCTGTGTAGTAGTATAATGCATGTATAATGCATCATATGTGCACGTCTAAACTTTTTCTAAACTGGACTCTCCTTAAGAAAAACTCCCAATCTCAGTGAGACCAGCTGCTCAAATGATCACCCCTGGATGTCGTAGTCAGTGACTACACACTGAGGTGTGTCGACACCTTTCCAGAGTTCATCTTCATAATAATATCTGTACCGTACAAGCGTGAGGTGGATGGTGTCGGGCTAAATATATCTGTGGGGGTGATGCGCTTCTGCGGGCAGCTGTAATTTCGCCCTGACGCCATAAACCAGTGTCCCTGTGTTCCGTCACTGTGAGACTCGTGCCTGAGTAATGCGTCTTTACCCGCTCTCTGACTTCCGCAGCATGAAAACGCTAACATTTGGGCTGACCCTTGTTCGACAGTAAGTTCATCTGACGATAATATATTAAGTTCAGCACCGCAGGGTTCCGAGTAGCGCGACTTTACTTTGACAGACTTCAGTCTGTCGTGTTTGGAGGAGTTTTAAAACGTAGTGACTGACATGTGTTTATTTCTATCGTGGTCTTAACCGGAGTTCACGGAGAGCGGCTTCTAAGCTAAAACGAGGAATATATGATAAGACTGTGACTCTCCCCGCGGGTTTGCACCGTTTAGTCTGTGCGACGTTTCACGATGGCCACCAGGGGGCAGAATAAACGCGGAACAATAAAGGTTCATTCATTTACAAAAACAAAACACGGTGTGTGGATTTTTGTGGGTCAAAGGTAAAACCACTAACACACACCACATATTGTCCGAAGATACCATGAAAATAAAATCAATATTAGCAGTGCAGACTCCAAATGTTTGTAGTCTTTGTGATTTATTTGCAGTTTGCGCGTCACTGGGGTTCAATCTGTAACTGAGAACTTGTGAATTTCTTTTTATCCTGACATTTGTTGATTTATGCATTTATTTTGGCCATTTTGATTAAGTGATTCAAAATAACTGAATCATCAAAAAGACGTGTTAGTAGCCAGTCGTCATTAAAAGTATAAGTACAGGTTTGGGCATACAGGAAGTCATGGCTGTGAGCAACACGTTCATGCTGGGTGTAATAAAAGATTCATGTGGTAACAGATGTGAAATCAAACGAGCCTGTTGAGCACCAAACTATCTCCTGTCATTTATTTCCTACAGTGGGGAAACTCAGTACAACAAAGATGGTCTGCTGCAAGGTAAATAATGATTCGAAATATTTGTTTCATTAGAATAAAATAGCTTGTTTTGGGTAAAAAAAAATAGAATAATGGAGCTGTGTTCACACCAGGCGCTGCTTTATTCTAATTTTCCCTTTTCCTTCCATGCAGGCCAGGCTATAGACGCACCTTTGTCTGAGGCTGGGCTGCAGCAGGCAGAAGCTGCAGGGCGATACCTCGCCCATGTCAAGTTCACCAACGTGTTTGTTAGCAGCATGCTGCGGGCAAAACAGGTAAACTATGAACCTTATACAACAGCAGTGTAAAAAAAAAGCGTCTGGTCTTTCAAAAGATCCAGTTTGATTTATTTATTTGATCTTGTGAGTCTGTGGATTTGTTTCTGTGTGTCAGAAAACTTCACAGGTGTGGAGATGAGATCTAAATCAAGGCTCAGTTAGAAGATAAATGCAGTCGGACCTTTGAACACTGAGCACTTATGTAATTCTGACTGAGTACTCGTGGCAGACTTATAAAAGCCACCCTCCTCCTCTCTGTAATCAGATTACATTTTGTTTTTGTTTTTCCATCCAGACCACCGAAATAATAATGAAGCACAACAGCAGCTGTTCCGCTCTAGAAATGGTGTGTGACCCTCTGCTTATAGAAAAGGCGAGTGACCTCCAAACTTACGAGAAAACTTATTGATCAAATGTTTACGTGCCAATCAATAAGTTCATCTTTCAGAGCTTTGGGATAGCTGAAGGGGGGCGGTTACAGGACCTCAAAGACATGGCCCAGGCGGCTGGTCAGACGTTTCCAGGCTTCACACCTCCGGGAGGAGAGACGCAGGAGCAGGTGAGGCTGAGGTTGTGTTATTGTAAAAGGAGAGAGTCTTGGTGAAATCCTGGATCACTGATAATGAAAAATAATAAATAATATTCAGGCCTATCCGGTCGTTAAGTGATGACGTGACGAATCCTACTTCCGGGCCTAAAGTAGTCTGCGTTTAATATGCTTTTGTGTTGTTAACATGTTTAATGTTTTGTATTTTCTTCTATTTAATCTCAAAAAGCTCCTAAAACAGTCAGTGATCACTGTTGACCTCCCTCGGCTTTTATTACCGCTAATCATTTAATTAAGCTCAGTTTTTAAAACCTTAGGATGTAACTACAGCCCAGCCCATGCAGCAGTATATTAATGACTAACCTCGTATTGTGGATGGATTATCTCAGTAGTTCTCCTGCTGAAGTTTGGTCCGTTTACAGCATCCTGCCATGCGATTACATTTGTTCCTGACCACCGAGAACACTCACGTTAACTTTTATGGAGTGGAAAAAAAGTTAGCTTGTTTATGCTATGCTAGCATAGCTGTGTCGCTAGCGGTCACGTAGCACATCATTATAAACCAGCTAGCCAAACTTCAGTAACCCTACAAACGTCACTGCTGTTTAGTTTTCTGTCTTCATTTATGTTGGAAGTGATAACAGAGCTGTACGTTTGAATTTGTTTCCAAAACAGTCAGGACATGCTATATTGTATTTAGATAGAAGCTAGCGAGCTAACTTCCTGCTAACTTCTAACTCCGTTAAATGTCATAAATTCCGTTTTCATGTATGCCTGGATGTTAAACTCAATTGTTACACCTGGTAGAGCAGAACGCTGATCATTTTATTAAATATGAAAGACTTTAGACAGTTTTTAACTCTCAGTAATGCCATAGTGATCGTTTGATATATGGACCTGCAGCGGAGTTTAGGCCCAGACACGGCTAGTGACGTCAGACTTAACGACCGGATTGCCAAGACTGAATTATTTACTTTCTTTTTATTCTTGGGAAACAACAAAATACTAAAAGCAAAAAGATGAAAAACACTCACAGTTCTATTGTTTTCCACTCTTCATCTCAAAAACAGATGTGGCACTGGTGATAAACACGGGCCATAAAAGTCACCCTATTGATGTCAGGTCTTTGCATCCCTGCTGATTATCTGGCTTTCTGTTATTTATGTGGACATTAATAACATCTGTAATCTTTTGAACCTGAACCATAAAGCGGCTCAACATACCCAGGGTATCTTTCTTTTATCTGGATACACTTACGCTATCATCGGCAGTAAGGATAGGCGGTCACATAAAGCTGGCTGTCAACTCGTTTAGTTACCGAGGGTTTCCCACCCGCATTCACAGGAAAGATGTGGTGTTGGCAGCATCTGACCAATCACAGCTATGCATAAGAATACCAGCAGTTGATCAGCTTTACAAAGAAAATTATATAATAGCAAAAATATGAAGAAGTTAAACACAGCAGAGCAGTGAGAGTGGAAGAGCACTGCACTTTAGTATTAATAGTGCTGAGTTACTATAATAAGAAACTTCGTGCCAGCTGTGAAAATTGCAGCTCTGTCATCAAAACATGGGAAAATCTGATGGATTATAATCTACTGTTTGATTAAACGAATGTTTCATCCTTTCAGCTGCAGCCTTGGTTTGAAATGCACATTTGATATAAGGACAGCAAGTGGGATACAAATAGATGGGATCATGTGTTCATGCTTTATGAACAATAATAAGCTCTATCTAAGAATTTATATTTCGTGCTGATCAACAGGGAAATGCAAAGATATTAGATGCTACTGAAAAACTTCACAGTGATGCAAATAGAGAGTCGATTGGTCAGCTGGTCAATCGGACCTGCTTTGGAGCAGGTTAGCATAGGTTACTGTGGACATACAGAAAACCTAGGGTTAGCCCTGACGTTACCCTTATAATATGAAATCTTGCTTCTTAGCACAAGCCTCTGGTTTTATTTATCTACTTCATGTTTGTGTGTTAATGTGGTTCCTGGTAACACATCATGTATAAAGATCAGTCACAAAGGTGCATTTGAGTACTTGGTTCAGCACGATGTAGCCATAAAGTTTTACAGTTGTTTAGTTAAGATTAAAATGAAGTCTTGAGTTCGAAGTACTCACAGGTCACGAACTACAACGTTTTGATTCCATCGCAGAATTGTCTGTAGATGATTTCTTTCCTGAGTTTCCTCGTGTCTCTGTTTGCTCTCTTCTTCATCTTCAAACTATCCGTCCTCTAACGCTCATCCAGTTCAGGGCTGGAGCCGATTCTCTGGACAGGTCAGCGGTCTGAGCAAAGACAGAGAAACAGAAGCATCTGAGGCTGCAGTGCTAACCAGCTCACCACCGTGCTGCCCAGTTCCTTTATATATTCCTTCAAATATGTTTCTGATGCAAAAGATCCCACGGAAGCCTTTTTTTAGAAAAAAAGGCGACCGTGGCTCAGGGGGTTGGGAAGCGTATCTGTAACCGGAAGGTCGCCGGTTCGATCCCTGGGCTCTCTGTCCTGGTCGTTGTGTCCTTGGGCAAGACACTTCACCTACTGCCTACTGGTGTTGGCCAAA